GCAATGTTTTTAACTTGTTGTACGCCGCCCCGTGTGCGCTGTAGAGGGGCAGGATAAAAATAAAAATTATCGTTATTATTATTAAATATTAATTATTATAAAGACACCTTAGCACAAATAAAGCCTTTGGTGACTAACTGATTTCTTCCAAAATGTATATTTATATGGTTTTGAGCTATTTTAACCTTGTTAACCATGGGCATAATGGCTGGGAGAGGAAATGGTTCTGGGACTCGTAGCCTGAAAAAGTAACTTTTCTAAGCTCTAGCCACAAGAGGAAGGGGACACTGTGTTTGCTGAATGATGTGAAGTGATCACTTGCCAAAGCATCATATATATCAGTGGTGTCCTTCAATAGGCACCATGCCACAATTGTGGACTGTTGCTCAACCACCACCACACATGCGTGTCTGCCCACTCACCAGATCCCTGGCACCTTTCAGACGCTGAATTGCCACTGCAGAGATCCTCTCCCATGGCACCCCTCTGGGGGCAACATTCCAGCCAAACCACGATCCCAACAGCACGCCTTGGTTGATACCTGGGGAGAGATGCAAGCAGAGGAACAGCCACTTGAAAGGACGTACCATTGCTTTCCTGCATAAAGCTGCTGCAAGTCCCTGGCACATGCCGGCCCATTGGCAAGCAGGTGAGGATGGACCCATTCTTGCCAGAGGGCAGGAGAATGCCCCACTGTCAGGCCCAGCACAGTTGCCTCAGCAAGGGATGGTGCTGGATTCTCCTTCTTTGGAGGTCTTTAAGCAGAGGTCAGATTTGAGGTTTTGAATTCCTTTGAATAAGGTTGAACTGGAAGACCCTCCCAACTTTGTGATTCTAGCTCTAAATCCAAACTGGCTGACAGAATCTCACAGATGGGCTCATGGCGGAAGAAGAGAACAAGGACAGAAGAGGAAAGTCTATGGGCAAGAGCAGTTAAGGGATCACCCAACAGGATCTATTTAACCCTGACTCTCCCTCTCCACTAGGCTTGCATGGAAGGAAGGAACTGGTTGGTTTTTCTCCTTGCCTTCAATGCCTTTTTTAAAAAAAATCACACATTCATGGGGAGGGAGGTTAATTTTGATTTTATGTTAAGCAGGGTTTAAACTTCAGATGCAAATACGGTAGCAAAGACCACCCTGAAGCAAGGGATACGATTTTTTAAACAAACTCCATCAATGTGAAGTTTAATAAAAATTTGCCAGTGTCTGCTGGGTTTCCCCTCTGTGAACTTTCAAAGCACACAGAAATGTTTGAGCAGCAACTGGGGTGGGAAATAGGTGATGGGGATGAGAGTTGGAGTGGCCATGCTGTCTGGGAGATGCTGGGAATTATAGTCCAAAAGGCCATACTGGCTGGGGATGCTGGGCATTGTAGTTCTGGGACGCCTCCTGCCACGCTATCCATTTGACCCCTGGCAAGCTGGGAGATTTGGGGAGAAACTATTCTGCATAAGACATGGGGATCCA